GCCTGGAGCCCGCACGTGGTCACTGGTGACTTGTCCTCGTCAGAGGACTGTGACAGAATCGTAGAATGACTTGAGTTGGAAGGGCCCTCAAAGATCATCTAGTTCCAACCGCACCCTCAGAGAAATCACGGTGTGGGTTGAGTTGCGAAGCCTGGCAATGCCTCCCCATCTTCCTTGGAGCTGGCTGCAGGGCCTGGGGCAGAGGAGGGAGCTGGGCTTTGGTCTCTCCGTGCTCTTAGAGGTCAATACAGAGATCACTGGAGTGAGACATGACCGTACTCCATTCCCGCTCACCCCTCTGATGGCAGCTCTCACCCTGTGCTGTCCAGGAGCTGGTGGCATGGGGTGACACCAGCCGGAGGAGGAAACTTCTCTCTGGGCCCTTACACTGCAGTGGGAAGGATTAAAGTTGAAGGCAGATCTCCCTGAAGCATCTCCTTGACCTCTTCCTCGGAGAGAGTCAGCCTGTGCTCACGCTGCGTCGCACTTTTTCTCCTTTCTGTCTCCAGGACTGCATCATCTGCATGGAGAAGCTGTCCTCCCCGTCGGGCTACGGCGACACCTGCGAGAGCAGCACCATCAAGGCAGAGACAGTCGGTCGCCTGGCGAAGTGCCAGCACTCCTTCCACATGATCTGCGTGCTGGCCATGTACTCCAACGGGAACAAGGTACCCAGCTGTCTGTCCTCACCGTGTCCCCCCATCCGTGGATGGCTCGGCCGCGGAGCTCTGATGCCCTCTTCTCTCTCCCGGCAGGACGGGAGTCTGCAGTGCCCCTCTTGTAAAACGATCTACGGAGAGAAAACCGGTACGCAGCCCAAAGGGAAGATGGAGGTCTCCACTTTGCCCCAGTCCCTCCCTGGCCACAGGGACTGCGGGACAATCCAGATTGTGTATCATATCAGCAGAGGCATTCAGGTGAGCTGGCGGGATAGCACAGGGTGGGAGAGACCCCCCAGAAGAGCACTGAGATCCAGCACCTTCCTGAGGTGCCTGGAGCTGGCAGCTGCGCTCACTGGACTTTAGTGTGTGGGTGACTTTGGGTCTGCCCTGACAGATCTTGGAGAGCGGCCCACAGGGTCTACACCTGCAGGAACAGCCAGGGCCTGCAGGAAGGTGCGAGAGGTCCCAATGTTTGGTTTCACCACCCGTGTCTGGGGTTCGGGTGGTTGCAGCGAGCTTGCACAGGTTTGAGCTGGGTGGTCTTTTTAGGGTGTCGTCAGACCCGGTGGAAAAAGCTGTGGTTTGGGGCTGGTCTCCCACCAGAATTCTAAGCAATGTGGAGAGCTGGCTTTGTATCCCAGTGTGAGAGTGCGCTTGGAGGACCCGTCATACCCACGTGTCTCATAAAAACAAGTCAGATACCTCACACTCGGCAGCAGCAGCAGTACCTGGCTCCTGTTACGTGGAAGAGCTCGTTTAGGATGGGCCTCTGTCAAATCCCACTGCAGATCCTAAATCCTGCTGCTCATCCTAAATCCTGCTGCTGAAGGACTGTCCCAACTCCACAGGAGATGGACGTGTCCATGCTAAATACATCTTCTCTCTTGCAGGGCCCTGAGCACCCCAGCCCTGGGATGCCGTACACGGCAAGAGGCTTCCCTCGCTATTGTTACCTGCCGGACAATGAGAAGGGCAGGAAGGTGAGGTACCACACCCAAACAACGTGGCCCTTTACAGGTTGTCCCCAACCCTGTGTCGGTGGATCAGCACAGCAGGGTCGTTTTTTGGAGCTGTCCCCGTGGTGCTGACCAGCTCTTCTTGATAGTTGTTCCTGCTCTTTGTTCCCTAAATAATCCCTCTGCCCACGAAGATGTCTGCTGCTTCTTCACAGCTTTGACCGAAGCCTTGTTCTCTCTTTGCTAAACAAAATCCTGTCTGACCTTTTTGGGAAGAGGCTCCCGGCCTGTCTCGAGCTCTGCAGTTACAAACACCGAGAACCGCTGAGC